GACCTCTTAGGTCTGGGAGAAAGTGTTTCGGTGCTCGAAACACGACCAGTATCTCCAGACAATTGATATGCCACGTCAGATGGCGACCACTCCACAGACCACGGGCATGGTGGCCACTCATGACCGCACCACAACCGGAGAGGGACGCGTCCATCGCTAGCGTCACGCGGCGACAAGGAGCTCCCAGCACCAGGCCCTGAGAAAAGAACCAAGGTTTCCTTCACATGTCTAAGGCACGTAGGAATCTCAGCGTGACCTTGAACATGCGATGCGGGTTTCCCCTCGGGGAGAACCCCCTGGTCTTGAGCCACCTCTGTAGGGGTCTCATGTACAGCAGGCCAAGAGTAATCATGTTGGACGCAGCTGCCATCAGACCCAGCAGTCTTTGAAACTGCTTGACAGTGAGTGACTGGCCTTCTTTCACTCTCTTGACTGCAGTGAGCATCGATTCGATCCGAGCAGGGGACAAACGTGCCTGCATCGTGGTCGAATCCCACACCACGCCCAGATAGGTGGTCCTCTGTAATGGAGAAAGCACACTCTTCTTGGCGTTTAGTCTTAACCCCAACTCTCTCATATGAGCGAGAACGACATCTCGATGTCGAACCGCTACCTGCTCTGAATGAGCTCAAATCAACCAATCGCCAATGTAGTTGAGTATGCGGATGCCCTGGAGTCGCAACAGAGCCAGAGCAACAGCCACACACTTTGTGAAAGTGTGGGGTGAGAGTGCAAGGCTGAAAGGAAGAACACAATATTGGTAAGCTTTGCCCCCAAAAACGAACCTCAGGAACTTTCTGTGATGAGGAAGGATGGAGATATGGAAATATGCGTCTTTTAGATTGATCGTGACGAACCAGTCCTCGGACCTGATCTGAGACACGACTTGTTTGAGTGTGAGCATTCTGAACTTCAGTCGCATGACTTGTGTGGAGGGACCACCTTGATGTCTCCTTCTTTAAGAGAGTAACTACTTCTTGTTCTAATACCAGAGCCTGCTCGGGACCCACTAGAGTGGGGCTGACCCCATTGAATCGAGGTGGACGAGAACCGAACTGGATTCTGTAGCCTCTTTCTACAGTACACAGGACCCATTGAGATACATTTGGCAGTAGCTTCCACGCTGCTAAATGATCCACTAAGGGAATCAGTCTCTCGAGACTGATCTCTGGTGTGCCCAGAGCGGCTAGTTCGGTGCCCTGAAGTGGCACACCGGCAGGGAACGGTCGAACTAGCTGCTCTGGGGGCGTCCGCAGAGGTCGCGAGCCTCTCAGTGCTGCTACGTCATCGGGCGGAAACTGAAAGAAATGCATGCTGGAGATCGCTGCGCCCTGGAACACCAGCAGGGTTGGCAGAATGATCTCCCGAGGGCACTGGTGGGAGACGGGCACCGTGTAATGCGGTGTGAACCTCTCGTCCTCAGAAGGGGGATCCGCAGATCCAGCTTAGGCTTTGAAGCCCCCGACCCAGAGTGTTGCTTCTGCCTCCGGTCCCGAAGCGGGGAGCGCAGGCGGCAACGCTCTGTTTTTGAGACTCTCTGTGTGAAGAGCTGAGATGCGGCGAGGGAGGAACCGCTGAAATGCCGCCGCCTGTTTACGAGCCTCCTGGTCCCAGTCGACGATGGAACTGACGGCGTCGCTGAACAGGCCAGAAGGCGCAAGCGGGGCGTCGAGGAGGATGACCCTGTCTTTCTCTTTCATATCAGACAGGGTCAACCACAAATGGCTCTCTGCTGCCACCATAGCTGCCATGGACCGCACAATGGCGCGGAGAGAGAGATCAGCAGTCTTTCTTAACTCCTCGATGTTATCGGAGTTATGTTCTTCGCCCTCATCCAGCTCTTTTGACCTTTTGACTTGCCTGACCTGCTGCCGCGTACCCCTTACCCACCAGCGCTGATGTTGTACGCAGTAGCTTGACAGGGTCAACCACAAATGGCTCTCTGCTGCCACCATAGCTGCCATGGACCGCACAATGGCGCGGAGAGAGAGATCAGCAGTCTTTCTTAACTCCTCGATGTTATCGGATACTATATGTCTAATTGTCTAAGTTTTTATTTCCCTAAAATAACTTTGTTTTGTCCATTTTTATGGAATACGAGACATTTGTCAACACTGATTGAACATACTTTCTTTGTGTCCTAGAACAACCTGTTGTGGAGAGTGATAATATTCGCATTCTCAAGGTAAATGGTCGTCACTCTCTGTTCATCACTCACGTTAACAAGGAGAGTGAGGGATTGTACACAGTATTTGCTCGAAATGTTTATGGAGAAGCAGAAAGCTCAGCTGAACTCTATGTACAGGAACCACGACCAGCCATATCTACTCACATGTAAGAAGACAAACTCTTCTTAACATTGTCTAATTAAACAAAAAAAATATTGTTACTCTACTTTACTGTTACTTTACCCCTTTTCTGACTCATTTGTTTGTTTGGTTTTCACTCTTCAGGTCAAGGTTAGAGAAGATGCCATCAATCCCCGAGGAGCCTGAGGTGTTTGAGGGAGAGGTGGAACACAGGACAATGCCAGACTTCATAAAACCTCTCAGTGACCTGGAAGTGGTAGAAGGGAAAGAAGCAGTATTGAAGTGCAGGGTGACAGGCCTGCCATATCCCAAAATCATTTGGTACCACAATGGCATGAAGATAGAGAGCTCTGATGACAGAAAGATGATACAGTGTAAGTCCACAAAATATTGTCGGGGGCATTTTAAAGGATGTTTATGGTCCATCTTTAATTTAATAAGACTATATTGACTTCTAATTGTGAGGTTCTTATAAGTTTACTACATTTACTGTCTCCCAAATACATGATGACTTCAATTATATCCTACCATGTATCTCATCTAGACAGGGATGTTCACAGTCTGGTCATTAATTCTGTGTGTCATGGCCACAGTGGTGTGTATAAATGTGTCATCTCCAATAAGGTGGGAAAGGCTGTCTGCTATGCTCATTTATATGTTGCAGGTAAGACTGAACTTTCTGTTATACATATTAGTATTGTGACATCCCATGTGTCCATCTCACTGACATTGTAGTTTCTTGACAGTTAGCCTTCCTGAACCACCTGATGGTCCTCCAGTAATTGAATCTGTAACTGGGAGAACAGCCTCACTGAGCTGGAAAATACCAAAAAACCTACACCCTTCCATAGGTAAATTTGTCTGTTTTGTCTTTAAAGGGTTAGTTCACCCAAAAATCTGAGAGCTCAGAATCTGAGAGCTGTCTGACCCTGCATAGATAGCAACACAACTGAAATGTTCCCAAGTCCAGAAATGTAGCAAGGAGATCTGTAAAATAATCCATGTGACATCAGTGGTTCATCCGCAATTATACGAAGCTACGAGAATACTTTTTGTGCGCAAAAGAAAAAAAAATAACGACTTTATTCAACAATCAGACAGCTCTCAGATTCCATCAAAAATATCTTAATTTGTGTTCCGAAGATGAACGAAGGTTTTACGGGTTTGAAACGACATGAGGGTGAGTAATTAATGACAGAATTTTCATTTTTGGGTGAACTAACCCTTTAACTGAACTGGTTTGATAGTTCCTTCGATCTGTGTTTTTCAGTCCTGGTCCTGGGGGCCCACTGCTCTGGACATTTTGTATATCTCATTTATCTGAAAACAGCTTGTTTAGATTTTGCGTAAAGTTAGTTTATCATGTTCTATGATTGGTGATATTTAATTGACAACTAGGAAGAATGTGGTAGGTTTGATTACGTACGTATTGATTAAGGTACGTCACTTGATTTTGTCCATCTGGATTGAGTGTATCATTGTGGTTTGCTAATGCAGCGCTGCAGTGATGACACATTTTTGTAGGCCAACTCAGAAGTTAGCATCACCCTTTTCCTTAAAGTCTGAGTGAGAATAGTTTAGTTTGAAAGAGAATGATTATAAACAGTGAGGCTGTAAAAGTGAGTGAAAAACTGTATAGTGGATGAGTTTTCTTGTTTGGTCTGATGACATTTAATGTCCCTGACAACCTCTGTAGTCCAGTTTAGCCACTTGTTAAAGAGAAGTAAAAAATTTTTAAATCATGTTTTACTGATGTATTTTGTCATAGAATAAAAAGGGAAAAGTTTGAGTTTGTCTTAACCATAGACATTATTTTAGGTATTTAACCAAAAACCCATTCATATAGGACAATGGAAACGGAGGTGTTAAAATTCTAGCTCGTTTCCAGGTTTACAAAAGTAAGTTGTCCCTGCAATACTCTATCACTGAGACCTCATGTTAGTGACAGGCTGCTGGGTAGGAGAGATTATTGTCTAGCCCTCGCACTGGTGGACACGTCAAGTCAAGTCAAGTCAAGTCAAGTCACCTTTATTTATATAGCACTTTTAACAATACAGATTGTCAAAGCAACTTTACAGTATTAAATAGTATGTCAATAATGCAAAATGACAATAGTAAACACTCAATTTTCAGCTAAAGGCAATTCATCGTTGAATTCAGTTATGTCATTCAGTGATGTCATCATCCAGCTCAGTTCAGTTTAGCACGTCATTAGAGAAGAGATGTTGTTGTAAGGGGAGGAGAAGTTAATGTTCTTGATTAAAGATTATTAGGGCACATGAATAATAATAATTTAAAGTTTTACATGGATACTCCATTTATAATAAACACTGCAGTGTTCCTTAAGAAATAAGAAGTCAATTTTAATTTCATAGTGTCGTTAAACCTGTTTTTGTCAAATTAAATTTTCTACATGACAGGTGAAATTAATTGTATATCAAAGGAAACCTGTCAAGGTCTATAAATATGTATGCTATGTATGTTTGTGAATCCAATGTTTAAAACCATGTACACCAATGTAGCTATGGGATACAGTGTGCCAGATGGTTCAGGCTCAATGGCTCAGCTACAGTAATAGTTGTAGTACTGTAGGTTTTCCATCCAAATGTAGGATATATTTTGTAAGTATTATAATTATTAGAGATATTATTACAAAATGGTAAAAAATGTAAAACACAACTTTCCTTTGTTATTTACATATTGTTTACATATTTAATTATATTTTTAGTATTAGTTTTAGTTTATGTTTTACCTCTGTCTCATTCATCTTTCTCTGCTCTTCCCTCTAGCATTTTCCATGTCTTTTGTTCATTTCAGATCCTGCTTCACTTATGTACATTGTTCAACAACAAGCTCTAGGGTCCACCCAGTGGACAACCATTGCCTCCAGCCTCAAAGACACCTCTTATACAGTCACCTCTCTTTCTAAAGGAGTGTGTTATTCCTTCAGAGTCCTTAATACTACTGGAAAAGCATCCAGCAAACCCTCACAGCCCACTGACCTGGTCCAGCTCTATGACAGAGGTATTGAGAAGATTTGTACTTGAATTCTGTCTGTACTCACAGCAGATAAATGTGGTGATATTTGTTACTTTCTGATGATATATATATATACTCATTATATCCTTGATGACACATGTATCTTCTGCTGTTTTGCACTTTTAATGAATGCAGCTGTCATAGCTATTGACTCACTTCACTGTGAATCATCTCAGCAGGCCAAAGCAAACCCACATAAACCTTTTTGCTTGTGAAATGCTGGCTGTGTCATTGCCTGATGTATGCACATTGCATGTAGACTTGTTGAAATAATTTATTAAAAAATGTTTTTTCATATCACAGGACAGTATTTACACAAAGCCCCAGTCATTCTGGACAAGCCTGATATTGTGTATGTGGTTGAGAACCAGCCTGTCACCATCACAATAACCCTTAATCATGTCCAAGCAACAGGCACGTGGAAAAGGTTTGTGTGAAATGTAAACCAAACATTCCAACTGCAATATAAATTGTGGATGTTAAATAAGCCATTGTTTACCAGAAGGGGAGTGATGCTTCTCAACAAACCTGGTGCATTAGAGATGACCATGCCTGATGATGACCAGCATGCCCTACACATTGTCAAAGTGAAAAGCACGGATGTAGGTCAGCTGATCTTCATGGCAAACAACCAGTACGGCAGTGACCTCTGCACTCTGCAGCTGGCAATGGCAGGTGAATGCCCTTTTTCTGGCCACTCATTTCTTTTAAACTCATAAATCATCAGCGACTTTGCTTAGAGGAGCAGTAAAAGTAAGATAAGTGGGGGAGAGGGATAAGGTCCATGGTTTACCCCACTCCGGTCTCCCAAAGCGCAACCACACTATCCACAATGTTATTAGCTCTGACAAACTTACAATGGTTATGTAATATATGAAAATCTGCTCCTTTTGAGATGTTATTCTGATGTTTGCAGACAATAATTAGAATGCAGTACTTTCCAGATAATGCACCTACATCTTAGTATGTGTGATTATTGGGTAGTACTGTAGTTGCAAAAACCTTCTGGCACGTTCAACCAGGTGTCTTATTAAAGGAATAGTCAACACACATATATATATAAGAATATATATAGCCTATTATTATTTACTCATCAAACTCCAAATTGTTAGGATTTTCTTTCTTCTTTGGAACACAAAAGATATTTACAGTAAAGAATCTGTTATTGGCCATACAATTAAAATGCAAGATCCAAAAAGGACATAAAAGTAGCATAAAAGTAATCCAAACAACCCCAGTAGTTTAATCTGAAGAGATATAACCACTTAGTATACCATGCAATAATCAAAACATTGATCAACAATATTGATGTATAATCCAATATCACAGTTCCAATAATATAACATTTTGTGTGATGCCATTAGATTGTGGGATATAAAGGTAGGGTTAAAGCAATATAATAAAGTCATTGGAGTAATGAAACATCAAAAACATCAGTAACATCAAAACTCATATGTTCTTGTGTGTCATGTGACTTAAAACTCATGACATGACACAATAACCAATTAAATAAAATCAAAGACAGAGTTTATTTTTTTTTCTTTATACTTTAGTATTAATTGTCTGCATTGATCCTGCTTCAAGTGTTCCATTTTAAAATGTTCTGTTGGGTTTTTCCTGTACATTTCAGTGCCCCTTTCATTTGAGACCATCATGGAGGACTTGGATGTGTGTGGGGGGGAAACATCTCGTTTTGCTGTGGTTGTAGATGGAAAACCTGACCCTGATATCCTTTGGTACAAGGTCAGTTTGCACTTTTGATTGTCATGCCAACTGAAATTTCACTGAACCGTTTTTATTCTGTCCTTAGTGATTCCACTCATTTGTGCAATTTGACTTGCAGGATAATGTCCTTCTGGCAGAGAGCAGTCATTTTACCTTTGTGTATGATGACAGAGAGTGCTCGCTTGTGGTTCTCAATGCTCAGCCAGAGGATGAAGGGGTCTACACTTGCACTGCAAAGAACCAGGCTGGGTCAGTGTCCTGTAAGGCTGAGCTTACTGTTCATACTGGTGAGTAATACAGATTAGTTTGAATATGGCTTAGCCAGAAGCAGATGTAGAGAATAATTCACCCAGAAGAATCTAGTTATGTATGTTTAAAGTTAATAGGGTAATGTTATTTACATGTCTACGGATAGCAAAGTAAATGTGTGTGGGTGTACTTACAATTTCACAGCCAAAAATGTGGAGGAGGAGGAAGAGCAAATGGAAGATGAAGGCACAATTCTACGAAGGATGCGTAGACTGACTGATTACTACGACATACACAAAGAAATTGGCAGGTCTGACACACTTCCACAAGGATAGTCCTGTTAATACTTTCATTATTATTAAGAGTATGCTGTGTATATTTGGATCTGACAAGTCTGTAATGTTCCTGCTCACAGAGGGGCTTTTTCATACATCAAGCGAGTGACACAGACAAATGGACAAATATTTGCAGCAAAATTCATTTCGTTATGGGCAAAGAGAAAAACTTGTGCTCTGAGAGAGATGACCCTCCTGTCAGAGTTAGACCATGAGAAGATCATCCACTTCTATGACGCATTTGAAAAGAGACGTGTAGTGGTCATTATTACTGAACTGTATCCTTTCCCTCTGATTAATTATCTCTGTCAAAAAAGATGTTTGCTTGCGTTATTATCTTTAAATGATTATAAAGGTGCCACGAAGAGCTTTTGGAAAGAATAACAAAAAGAACAACCATCTTAGAATCTGAGGTTGGTGTTTTAACTGTGTATTCTGAAACTATTATTTGCTGCTGCATGATGTTAAAACAAAATCAGTGAATTACTGACAGATTAATATAATCCACAGAATTAATGTTCATGTTCTGTTTGCAGGTTCGGTCTATCATACGGCAGCTACTTGAGGGTATCGACTATCTTCACCAGAATGACATAATTCACCTTGATATAAAGGTCAACAGATAAAATTGTACCATTTACTAAATGCTTTGCTAATCATTGCAAATTAGTCAGTGTCGAGTAACTATACAGTATGTGTGTCTTTCAGCCTGAAAACATCCTCATGGCAGACCAAAAAAGTGATCACATTCGTATTTGTGATTTTGGCAATGCTTTGAAAGTCAAACCAAATGAAGAATTGTACTGCAAATACGGCACACCAGAATTTATTGCTCCTGAGATTATAAACCAGTCACCCATCTCTAAATCAACAGATATTTGGTAAAAGACCATCGCTATACCTGCCTTTTTGACAGATGGTTAAATTTCATTCTCTATATTTTCTAAAACTATCTTTCTCTCCACAGGCCAGTGGGTGTCATCACTTACTTATGGTATGTATATTTGTAGGTTACACTTTATTTTGATAGTCCAATTTATACATTCTACCAAGTGTATGTTTTCAATAACATGTCCATTAACTCTCATTAAAGTATTAGACTGTTTGGTTAGGGTTAGTAGCCTAGTAGATTAAGACTTAATCACTTAATGTCAGTATAGCAGACAGTAACTGTAATTGCAAAGTTACATATAGTTAGTGAGAATGTGTAGCGTCTCGACCAATCTGACACACTAATTTTTATTTGATTTAACAAATCAATTATTCATTAGATTAACAAATCGTCACAGTCCCCTCACTCAATAAACTGGATGCCAGGATTTCTGCTGAACAAGTTATTTCCCTTAACCAGGAAATTAACGTTCTTAGAATTGACAAGACAGTTGACCCTGAGAGGTCAGCTAAATATCTACAGCGGATCTAAAATATTCATAATTAATCATAACTAGTTATGGTTAATTATTCATATTTCCTGTCATGAGCTGATTCGTTACAAATGTCTAGTAGAAAGTGGACTATCAAAATAAAGTGTTACCAATTTGTACTCACCACTGTTGGAGTTTTGCATTTAATGCTAGGTGTAACATTATGTACCATGTCTTTTTCATTCATATAATTTACAGCCTAACAGGAGTTTCTCCATTTGCTGGGGAAAATGATCGTGGCACGTTGCTGAACATCAGGAACTATAATGTTGCCTTTGAGGAGAGCATGTTCAAAGACCTTTGCAGAGAAGCAAAAGGATTCATCATAAAGCTCCTTGTAGCAAGCAAACTGTAAGTGTTTATTGCACCACAATCTCTGAGGTAAATATGTCAGACTGTTGTAATTTTCATGGAGTTATGCAGTCTTAAATTTGTTCAAACATTCGTACTTCAGGAGACCTGATGCCACAGAATGTCTTCTTCATCCTTGGTTCAAGGTAAGATGGAAAATTAAACAGGCTGCAGTACTGATTAATGCAATTTAAAAAAATCTTCAGGCACCCTTTAATTAATCACTTTAACACCTGGTAACTTTTACACCTAACTTCTAAAGAGGTTCTGGTCATGTGTACAGAGATGTTGTTGGCTTGAAATTTATTTTTAGAACACAATAATCTAATTGACATTTCTCCTTAGTCTCTGGTAAAGGGAAAGAGTATCAACACAACATTACATAAGCAAGTGTTAGCCCGACGGAAATGGCAGGTAAGCGATTAAAAACCTATATATTAAAAAAAAAAAAAAAAAAAAAATGCATTCATTATAAATTAGTTATAAAAGAAATGACAATGTTAATTTCTTAACTGTTTTTTGTCTGTTTCAGTGTTCACTCATTAGATACAAATCTAAAATGGTGATGAGATCTATATCAGAGTTGCTGGATGACTCTTCAAGCCATGTGTCTCTTGCTGTACCCAGAAACCTTAAAGATGGTTCACCACCTCCATCGTCGTCCTCCGATTCAGATGAGGACATCGATGAACTTCCTTTCATCCCTATGCCTCACACAATGATGTTCTCTGGATCAAGGATGTCACTGACAGAGATCCATGAGGATGATGTTGATGTCATTAGAGGATCCAATGAGTCCTACCAAAAAAACATTAATTGGCTGGAGGACATCACAAAATGTCAGACAACTGATGGACAGAGGGATGTAGACCACCTGGAGATTGCAGAAAGGACTGTGAACTTGAAAGAATCCTTCCAAAGGGGTTCCAGTGTAGAAGCTGAACAGGTAGCAGGCAAATCCAGAAGAGCACTAATGCGAAGAGGGAGTTCTGCTGATAGTGCGCTTCTTCTACAGATCACACCTGAAGATGGTAATATGAACGATACTACAGAGGAAGGCCAAAAGCACATGAAAAAGGCGGTTTCCATGGAGCTGCCACACAGGAGCAATAGCCCAAAGACAGGGAGGCTGAGCAAGGAAGATTATGCTCTAAAACTGGATCTTATGCGGCAGAGGTTGCTAAGAGGAGGCACTGTTGACAAGAACATGAGTGGTCTTCGTGGCCCCCTGCTTGAGACACTGGGTGTTGATAATGAGAGGCGAACTGCTTCTTTGGATCGTAACTTTAGACGTGCCAAGTTGAGTGATTCAGAAGTTCCTCGGGCATTCTCCTCTGACTGCCCTGATGATACTTCTCCAAATACTGCATTAAGGAAGAGGTCTTCTTCAAGGGACAGAAACTCTGAGTCAATTTCACTACATAGAAGATCTGGAGCCCCACTAGAGATTCCCTCCATTTTTTCTGGGGACCATAACTTGTTGGAAGCCACATCTCCTCTCTCAGAACAAACAAAGGATGGTACAAAGCCTGTGTTTCCAAGAGAAATTTCTTCCAAACCACCAACTCCAGACATAGAAAATAAACAGGAATCTAAGGAAGAGGCTATTGGTGCCATCCAAATTATGAATACATCTCAGCCTGCATCTATATTAGATGACAGTGATAAGAAGGTAGAGAAGATGGAAGAGCACATGTTCTCTGAAGACTGTGTGCCAGGAAAGATAAATAAAAGTACTGAATCTTCTCTTGATATACTTCCACATGACATATCCTCAAATTATTCCAGTAAATTGCAGGTAAATGGCAAAAAGGCATCATCTGTCTTAGTGTTACCCATCCCTATCTTGAAAATCTCAGAGCCGGATATTCAACCTACCACTGGACATCCAGTTGTTTATGCTTCTGCTTCCTCTGCATATCACCCGACTCTTAGAACTGATATTAAAGATATTGATTCAGAGGAAATGTTTGAGGCAAGGTTTAAGAAGAGGGAATCATCTTTGACACATGGCCTAAAACGATTGACAAGGACCAAGTCTGAAGAAAACTCACCTGTTCTCCCACGGAAATCAAATGAAGAGGTTTATCGACCTCGCCCTGTAGGTGCCCCATTGGAGTTTGGACCCAGAGGATTAAAGGAAAAATCCAAGTCTGTCCAAGACCTCAGGGAGGTGGAGAAAGAACCCGGCCTAGGACTTATTGGAAGATTCTCTATGCGTGCAAAGAAACTGCAATCAAAAAAAGGGAAAGAGGAGACCTCAGATTCTGTAGCTAACAGACGTCGTGTTACCTGGGCAATGGGACGTAGCAAGTCTCTAGACAAAAAAGAAGTTGAGATGGGAAGCTCTGATAACACTATGGATACAGAGAAAGAAAATATTGAAAAAAATAGTAAGAAGGTTGCTGAATCACCTGTCCTTGCAGTGCGACGTAAATTTGAATCTAATGTTTCAGGAATATTTGATAGAGTGCATAGTAGGTCAAAAGACATTAAACATAGGGAAGCTAAACCCCACAGTGATAAAGAAACTCTAAAAGAAGAGAAGCAAGACATAAAGAAAATCAGTGATTCGCCAGTTCTGGCACTGAGAAAAAAGTTTGAGTCAAAAGTATCTGGAATTTCATTAAGAAAACAAAGTCAGTCTGACAAGAGCGAGGGAGAGAAGGAGGTTAAAATTGAAGAACAGAAAACACCTTTGTTCTCTCGTCATCGCCGCTCTCAATCTGATGGGCTCATTCACAAGAGTGTGAATAATCCTGAGAACCAAGTTCCCTCACAAACTGCTTTTACATCATCCAAAGAGACACTGATCTCCTCATCTAGTTCACACTCTATACAATCCTCTCAGAGTATGTATTATTGAGTTTTTTTGCAATACATTTTTTTTTCAGTGATAGAAAACTATTCCAACACTTATTACCAAGCATTTAAATTGTTGCTAAGTACACTGTACTATACTGTAACTAGTGTACTGCAAGTTAAACCTTGGAACCTAATGTATGCAAATGATGAATACATTCATTACAAAACTACATTAAAGTGATTCATTGTTGACAGCTCCTGAAACTGACATCAGGTCTAGGTGGGACAGATGGGGTTTGTCCAGAGGCAAGAGAGACAGGACACCATCAAAATCAAATGCACCTGAAATTCCGAAGGAAGGTAAAACAAAAATGTCATTAAAATAATTGGTTACACTTTACTTGAAGGGGTGTGCATAAGACTGACATGACACCTTCATAATCATGGCATGACACCTACATAATTATGACATGACACCCACATAATTATGACATGACACATATCATGAATATGAAGGTTTTTTTATGCATGTTTATGACAACTGTCATTAAGTGTCATTCACTCAGTTATGTAATTTTTAATGCAAAGATGACATTGTTTGAGATGTCTTTGTTATGGGCTATGGTTAGGGGTAAGGGTAGGGGTAGGGTTAGGTCAAATAATGTCATATTTGCATTAGAAATGACATAACTGAGCGAATGACACTTAATGACAGTTGTCATAAACATGCATAAAACCTCCTTCATATTCATGACATGTGTCATGTCATGATTATGAAGGTGTCATGTCAGTCTTATGCACACCCCTTCAAGTAAAGTGTTACCAAATAATTCTACTTCTGATATGTCAAGTGTCATTTTGAACAACTGCCACAGTTTTGATCAGCAACTCCAATTAACACTTTATAATTTTTTATCCTTTTATTTCAGATTTTCCTCCAGTTTTCCATATTACACTAAAGGACCATGTTCTTCTTGAAGGAAATCCAGTGACTCTTAGTTGTCTTCCAGCTGGCAGTCCTGAGCCAAAAATATTATGGATAAAAGGTATTTTTTCATTTATTTATTTTATTTTATTTTAATTATGAAAACAGTAGTGTTCCAACAATGAACCTTTCTCCCGTGCTCATAGATAAGAAACCTTTGGAGATTAATGACAGAATGAGCTTAGTGGCCTACCCAGATGGAAGGCAAATTTTGATGATCATGAAGACCTCTAAGAAGGATGCAGGAATATATGAATGTGTCGCCTCTAATAACCTGGCCTCTGCTACTACTTCCTGTATACTGTCCATAGCCTGTAAGCATTAAAAGGTTGCTTATTATTCAGTATAGCATTAATGCCAAGCAGATGTTTGGGTGTTCTTACATTTTGTTCATTACTGTATGTGCTAAACTTGCAAAAGTTATTTTCTAATCCATATTTTGTGTTTATATCACATTTTAAGGTGTTCCAAAACGACCAGGAAGCCCTGAGATTCCACAGATATATAATAACACTGCTCTGGTGCGATGGAAACCATCAGACTCCAAAGTTCCTTGCACGTACACACTTGAGAGAAAATGTGATGGTAGGGCATACTGTACATCTGGCATATACTTATTTATCATGTACTTCTGTGTTAAATATTATCTTTTTAAAAGTGTTCTCCTTGCCATTCATTGTGTGCAGTGATTTCAAATTTCACATTTTGATCTGTAGGTGATGATAAGTGGGTGACTGAAGCTACAGGCGTGACTGATTGTTTCTACAATTCCTCTGTACTTACGACTGGTTCCACCATCCAATTCCGTGTGGCATGTGTAAATAAAGCTGGCCAAGGGCCATACAGTAATGTATCAAAGGGAGTGAGAATTAACGCTGAAGGTACTATGCATGCAGTTCAGTTGTACAGCATTAAAACTGATCATTGTTCATTGTTCTGGTAATATTAGCTTTTGTTACAAGATTTAATTAACTGAATATGTGAATTCATAATTATTTTCTGGATTAAGGAAATACATTTCTGTGTACATAACTTCTGTTCTGCAGTGCCACCGCTCTATCAGCCTGCTGAAATGAACACACACCCATTGTCTCCTTTTTCTGTTGCTGCTGTGACTACATCTGCTTCTACATTAGCAGAACCAAGTGTTAGTCAGTCCATTAGTCATATTCCTGCACAGTCTGGTGATGTCACAAATACTTCCTCTGAGGTGCCCGTTTCTCACTCAAAGACGTCAGTCCCTCCTCTTGTTCAGCCCAAGCCAACAAGCACGATCAACATGGTTCTCCCTGTTACCCAAACCCAGACTGTATCTGCAAGGTCATACACAGCTCCACCCTCAATAGGCAGATCGATTTCCCCTGTCCCTTCGTATGTTCCAGCCACTTGTTCAGTTGCTCCCACCCCTATCTCTCCTCCTGTGATCTTGGTCAGCAGTATCAGTCCAATAGGAGAAGGAGCAAGCTCACCCACACCAGAGACACCTATGGAAAGAGCGGTATCCTCCACCAAAACTGAGACCACTTTGAGGCAAGGAGTTCCTCAGAAACCATATAGCTTTTTAGATGAGAAAGCCAGGTGAGAAAATAAAATGAATTCCTATATTTGTTATTCCTTTATTTTTTTATTAATTTTATTTAATATTTCTCCATCTGATTATACAGTTCACAAATCAATTATGCAAGCATTTTTACACAACTCATCCGTTTTTTGACAGGGGACGTTTTGGAGTGATAAGGGATTGCCAAGAAAACTCAACAAGCAAGATGTTTATAGCAAAGATTATTCCCTATAATCAGCAGGCCAAGCAAGCGGTCATAAAGGAGTATGAGATACTCAAGTCCCTCCGTTGTGAAAGAATCATGGCCCTACATGAAGCCTATATTACACCTCTCTACCTTGTACTCATAACAGAGTACTGCACAGGCAAAGAGATCCTGTATAGTCTCATTGACAGGTGTGTATTGGTCCAGTATGGTCAAGATTTGATAGATTATCTATTTTAACTGGGCTGTGAAAATTAAGTTCAGTGTTCTCAGATAACTCTTGTTTTCTCTTCCAGATTGTGTTACTCTGAAGATGATGTAGTGGGCTTCATTCTCCAGATCCTTCAAGGTTTAGAATATCTCCACAACTGCCGAATTCTTCATCTGGACATTAAGCCAGACAACATCATGGTCACCAACCTCAATGTGATTAAGATCATAGATTTCGGCAGTGCTCAAAGGTTTAACCCCCTATCGCTCAAACAGTATAGCAGAGAACTTGGGACCCTGGAGTACATGGGTATGCACAACATAGAATTCTTAACCTGTAACGTTTCTCTGTATAATGATTTAAAATATCTATTCCTGTCTTGTTGACATAAATGACCTGTTTCTTGCCTTCTTCAAGCTCCAGAATTCCTGAAAGGGGAACTAGTAGGACCCCCAACTGACATCTGGAGTTTGGGAGTTCTTTCCTATATTATGTAAGTCCAGTCTATAAAGGAATTAAAGTTGGCATCAAACAGAAGTTGCAACCAACTTTACTATTGTATTGTGGTATATTTTTAAGAAAAGCAGTAACATGCAATAGAAAAAATAAATATTCCCGTTTAGAACATATTTAAGCTTCTTTTACTTAATACTATTTTTCTTTAGAACAACATTATTCATTAATTGGAATCTAATTTTAAGTCATTTTGTTTATACTGTAGGCTCAGCGGTAGACTTCCTTTCCAAGACAAAGACCCAAAACTGACAGAGACTAAAATCCATGCCGCAAAGTTTGACTCAACTAAGCTCTACACAAAGGTTTCCCAAAGTGCCTCCAGTTTTTTAAAGAAGACATTAAATGGCTATCCATGGTGAGTATCAGTTAAACAACCCTTTAGTACAAGGGTTTTCCTGGAGCCTCCACCCCATTGCACATTTTAGATTAGGGGTAGCTCTTGGAGGGTTAACTTTGTGCAGAATTTAATTCTAACCCTATTCAAACACAGTAGTCAGTGTCTTCAGGATTACTCAAAACTTCCATTCTTCCTGAAGCAGGGATGGAACTGAACTCTGCACTCCAGGAGCAGGGTTGGCTACCCCTATTTTGAATGTTTTACTTATTGGACACACCCAGCCAAATTATAGAATACTCCACTAACCAGCTGATGAGTTAATTCGACTGGGTTCCAAAAAAGGGATATGTCCAAAATGTGCAGTCCTCGGGAGGCTCCAGGAACAATTTGAAAAGTTTAAAATGTTTAAATTAGCACTGCCTTTTTACAATTCAACATTTATATAGTAGACATTATGTTTGCTTTGTTATGTCCTTAGTTATGAAGAATAAATATAGTAGATATCATAATAACTTGACTGATTTTATGGACTTTTTCCTCAGGTGTCGACCCACCATTAAGGACTGCCTCAGTCATTCATGGCTCCATGACTCATATCTAAAGAAGCTGCGTCGACAGACCTTGACTTTCACTACCACACGGCTCAAAGAATTCCTGGAGGAGCATCAGCGCAGATGTGCAGAGTCAGCTACTAAACACAAGGTCCTCCTGAGAGTCTACCAGAGTGGGTTTTCATCCCCAGCCTCACCAACCAAGCCTAGTTCACCAAGCACACCTATCAGTAGAAAGAAGAAGAAAAACATTGACTTTGAACAGGATAAGGTAATGAATTCCTTGAGAGCTGGAAAATGACTGCTGGATAGTATACCCAGGGGTTTCCTTGAAGACACCAGTAATATGAGTAATAAGAGAGCAAAATAGACTCTATCTCACAAATAATAATAATAAAAAAACATTGACTTAACATGGTCAATGGTGTTGATAATAGGAAAGTTGGTTGATAGCTGTAGACTTAGAAGTAACAGTTGTTTCAAGGGGATGGACATTACATTAGGAGCAATACTGGATTCACTTTGGATCAGTGATTGTACCAGGATGAATGATTTATAAAGCATTGTCATTAAGTTTTTTTTTTAAAGATTTCTTTATGGAATTTTTTTTGATAGGACAGTGCAGATTTTGACAGGAAGCAAGTGGGAGAGAGAGAGGGGGACAGGATTGGGAAAAGTCTGTGAGCCAGGACTCGAACTGGGAACACCATGTCGGCATGCTGCCCACGAGGCTATCAGTGCTGACATAATTTAGTTTTTTTAGTTTTAGTTTGCTACATGTGATGCATCCATTTGGACTTAAATTAAATCTGAACTGAGAATTATTTTAAGAATTGCAGAAGCAGGTACAGTAATAGGGCCTGTTCATGAAGAAGAATACAATAATACTGTTACATTTCATGGAAACAGATTGCTTTCTTTTGAGAATTCTTAAGATACATAAACTTGTCTGCAGTGTAAAATGCTGATTTGTCAGTGTTTTAAATATATAGAGTGTAAGTGACATATTGTTAAGCTTCATTAAAGTTTAGAAACATATTATGCTCTGGTGTTCCAACTTGTTTCAAATTTTATTTATAAAAACTAAGAACAAAGAATGATCTCCTTTGTCTTCTCATTATGTCACTACTACTATGTAAATCTGTTTGATGTACTTTTACATTTGATTTTATATTTCAAACTGTCTATCGCACTGTGTTTGGCATGCCTTTCAATAAAATGTTTCATGATTTTTTGCTGTTGTTTTTGTAAAAAAAAAAAAGCCAACAACAACAATGGGTAAGGGTACTGTGATAACGTACCTATATTTACGTGTTTTTGATTCTTGTGAGAGACTTTCTCCTTTCTAATGAATTATTCTTTCAGCAGAATTCAAAATAAAATTTAAAATTAAAGACACAAAATGAACACCATTTTTTGACAGATGGGCATCTTATGACTTTTTAAAATTTATTTATTTTTACTTTTTCTTGTTTACAGCTACTATATCATCATTACCCTGAACATGGTTTTATATTACACATTAGCTTCAATATTATTGCTGACTTTCATTTAACAAAATTCAGAAAATTCTAAACAAACATTACACTTTTGCATCTATAAAATAGAATGTTCTGTCATTCTATTCTGTAAAATATTAAAGATTATAAATACTATAAAAAGTGTCCCATCCACATAACACAACATACTTTCTCTTCTTTATCAACATTCATGAGTGAGTTGTATTACAGTCATTTAATGGTAGTACTGGAAAATAAAAAATAAAAACACTGTGCATCTTTATAACACTTCCAATGTCCATCTTAAGTTTACAATGACACTTGCTTGCTACTGCATTCTGTTCCAACTGGATATTCCATACTGACAACCATCAGGTTTAAATCATGACGTTTTTTCACACATCCATATATATATATATATATATATATATATATATATATAGTATAGTATTCCCCTCTTTTATACTGTCCTCATGTATGTGATAATTTCTACAGCACTGTCAGTTTGGCACTAGTCTTGGCTTTCCCTGTGGTAAACCTGACTGTGCCACTCATGTCAGAGCTGGTTTTTTTGAATGTCAGTTTGTGGACAGTCCCTTGGTTCTCTATTCGGACATTGGGCCCTGACTGCAAGGTCTCTCCGTTCAAAGTCCAGATGGGAGGCTTGATGAGGGTCACGGACACTTCACACTGGAAGCAAGCCATTTCAGGAGCTCTCACTTCCATATCCTTTATATCCTTCACCACTAGGATAGACTGGGCTGTGAAGTTAAAAAGAAAAAAGCTTGAACTATGAATATTAATGCTGTGTGTTTCATAATATTGACTTAATCATTTGTCCTATTCTATTAGCATACTAAAGTCATTTATATATATAGTCAGCAGTTGAATTCACACCATACTCACCTTCCACCATCAGCTTGGCTGTGGATGTGTGCTCCCCAACCTCAATACTGTAGGTTCCCTCATCCTCCAGCGCCACCTGGTGGATGACAAGTTTATGATAACAGCCTTCTTGTATTATTTCCATGTGTTCTGTGGATTCCAACTCTTGATCCCCTTTGTACCAAGTGACATCACAATTTGTGGACGATACAGTGCATTCTAGAATAACTCGATGTTTTTCCAGTGCCGTGCGATCCCTGAGGGGACGGACAATGCTTACAGGAAGCTCTGTAAAAATAGATATGGACAAAAGATTTTTGGTTTAATTAAATTATCTTTTTATTTACTATGAAGGCAGAATCCTATTCAGTTAAAGTACACCTTTTGTACAATACCTTCAACCTCAAGATAAGCAATTGAATGCACTTGTTTGGAAACAAACTTGATTTCTCCAGAATCTTCTGGCTTGACGTTGCATATAAGCAGGAAGTGCTTTGTGCCTGTTTAAAAGGTAAAAGAAAAATAATTAATTTATTTTTCAAGTATAATTTAAAAGTGTGATATTGTACACAGAAGCACTTCAAAACAAGATTAGTTGTAGTTTATCCACATAAGTTTATCCTCACCCTCTGTACGAGTCTTGATGGTGCTAGTGGGGCGTATCCTGCTGCCATTTTTGTACCATTCCCCAGGCATATCTTCCAAAGACAGCTCACACATAAAGACAGCATTCTGGTCCTCCTTAATCCAAAGATCCTCCAAACCAGTTATGATCTCTAATTCATGTTCTGAGCGCAATGTGGAGAAAATGTTATAAAAACTTTTAGTAAATATCTGTGTATTGCTTTGTGACTTTTCCAAAAAATGGTCATTCACAAAAACCATAACAATAAGAAAATACATATAGCCAGTTTTGCTTTTATGCCAAGTTTAAAGTCTAGATAACCTTCCTAAATTTGTGGTAAGTAAACAGGGTGTAGTGAGCCTCTACTTTATTGTCTGTCTTGAATTTTGAGTAGAAACTTAACTGAGCAAAAAAAATGTCTAGTCTCAAATAAAATCCTCTCTAAAACAACAGGGGAATTTTACTGCTAGTGTGCATTTTCTCAATGTTTCCAATAAGCAACAAGCTGGGAAAGAAAGGGAAGAAAGAATAAAGTGAAAAAGCTTACCATAGACCTCAAGTTTACAGGAAGTGCTGAGGTCACCTATTTCACAAGTATAAAGGCCCGAGTCACTGATGTTGCATTCCAAGATCTGTAGACAGCGTTTACGTCCCATGGAATACATCCTCAAAGTCTTACTGGATTTCAGCTCCAACCCATTCTGCCAATTGATTCATAGAGAGAATGCAGCTCAGTGAGAAAGAATGAAAACCTATTTAGACAGGTACTGTGCCTTTTTTATTTTAAATTCAGGAGTACCTTTAGCCATCTGACGTCCACATTTGGCCTAGACAACTCACACTCCAAAATGACTGCAGATTCCTCCTCAAATCTGACATCAGACAGCTTCTTAATGATCGTCACTGGTGTTTCTAAAATGTAATGCAAAATGCTTGTTATTTTTGCCAGTTCTGTAAAAAAATATTAAGAGCCCCTAAACTTGGAAATATACTATTAGTTTGAGTTTTTTAGTATTACTTTTTTATACCCACCTTTGACTACCAGTCTGGCAGTAGTTCTCAGACCTTCTGCAGAGAAGACAATGCTACCAGTATCCTCTAATGTCAGGTTGGAGAGGGTGAGACCATGTACTCGTCCATTGCAACTAACACGCCAGTTGTTATTGGGTTTGACACGCAGACCATCTTTTTGCCATACACCCTCCACATCAGCATGAGAAACTTCCACCTCGAAGGATGCAGTCTCTCTCTCAAATGTCTCAATGTCCATCAGTCCCTTGCGTATGACAATCTTCCTCGCTTTAAATTGTAACAGAGCTTATTTAGTCAATCTTAAACTAAATAAAAAATTATCTTCATGTATAGACAATTTCAGAACTGTTAGGTCAAAGACCAGTAATAGCTGATGTTCCTATTGAAATGACTGCCAAGTTCTTAGGTGCCTTATTTTATTTAATATCACCAACAGATTGTATGTTGTTTCAGCAGAATTATAAATAGTTAAGGCTAAAGTACCAAATATTTGAAAATGCTCTTAGCCACTTACGCTCCACATTGAGTTTGACCTGTGTACGGTCATGCAGAGTCTCACAGCGGTAAGTGCCTCGATCAGACAGGCTGAGGTTAGTGATGGTCAAGATACGTTTGCAGGCATTCTGTGTGAGTTTATGTCTGGGTCCTGGCTGGATCACCACCCCCTGTCTCATCCACTGCACCTCTCCAGACTCCAGACTCACTTCTGTCTCTAATACAGCCTCTCCAAACTCTTCAGCCATCACTGCCTCCATTCTCTTTGTGAACAACACCTGTGCCTCTGTATGTAAATGTAAAAGTTTAATGTTACAAAGCCATGAATTTACAAAACAAGTTCTTTAACATTTGTAAAAAAAAAAAATTAATAAATAAAAAAACTGAAATCGGTATTCGCTGAAAAATGTCCCTCTAATTTTTGTGTCAAATCTTGATCCATACACATATTAATGTTTTATTTTAGAAATAATGCCTGTCTCTGTCATTGTGTGTGTGTGTGTGTGTGTGTTTACTGTATAATGAACAGAAAATAAAAAAGTAATACAGTGTAAAAATCATACTGCTATAGTTTTATTATGTTTTGTTTTTAATTGGAGCATAGCAGTGTGAATCACTGTTCTTTTTTTTTTATTTCAAAAGGGACAGCTCCATGACTTGTTTTGAAACATATTAGGGTAAGTAGATGATAACAGATCCTTTTCTTTGGGTGAACTAATCATTAAAATTAATCATTTATTTACTTACCCTGGACTTTGAGGCCGGCTTTAGAAATTATACCCTCAGCCTCTGCAGTGATCCGAGAGGAATCCAAAAGCTGGACCTTCCGGATTATTAGAGTATGGCAGAGGCTGTTCTGTTCAATATAGAAGCGATCACTGGGTTTGATGGGTTCTCCATCCATGAGCCAGACCAACTGAACATCATCAGGGGAGACCACACACTTAAAGGTAGCATCCTCACCCTCCATGACAGTGGTATTGTGAAGCTCTGTGAGGAATTCCACCACACGGGGCACTGAAAATGCAAAGCAAGTGGATAGTATTGACTAAGTGTGTGTGTGTGTGTTTTATCTTCAAAACTTCAAATTTTTCACACTTACATTCTACCCTTAATCTGGCACTGGTGCAGTCATCTTTGGACTCACAAGCATACTCTCCAGCATCTTCTTTGGTGAGACGATGGATTGTGAGACTCCTCTCTGTTCCATTGGCACGGATAGAGAAGCGACGGCTGGGAATGATCTCCACTCCATCGTTCTTCCACTGGACATCTGCTTTGGCCTTGCATAGCTCACAGCAAAGTGTTACCATACCATCTTTATGGGCCACTGTGTCAACCAGTGACTTCACAAATTTAATACGCATGTCTATAACACACACAGGTTCATGGTTATTATTTTATGTTGAATGAGTTCCAATGCTAATGTTACGTTGCTCTGTCACAAGCAAACGTTTGATTCCAGTTACCAACCTTTG